CCCCAAAACCCCAAAACCCCAAAACCCCAAAACCCCAAAACCCCTTTATTGTTAGACCAAATTGAAAATATTAATTTGAGTTTATTGCCTGCTAAGGTCGATTTTATATGACTTATCAACAGGAAAAACTATTGGGTTGTACATTGAAGCCATACTTTGGGTATTCCTAGCTGTGTTAGCACCAGCCAGACCTCCGTTCCTGGAACTCTGCTTGTACTGCTCAAAATTTGTTTTGGAAATTGCATTTCTTTGCATAGTACTCTCTGGTGTATTAGACCTCTGGATCGTCCCATGAAAGTTCCTCATATTAGAAGGTTGGTGAGGCAGAGGACTTGCGTAACTTGGCTTTTCAATAATTCCTTCTGGTCGTCTTGGCTCAGGGCTGAAAAACATCTGGCCCTTCCTCCCTGTAGGCCCATGAGGAGGGGAATCACTGAAGTCCATGACGTTCATGGCACCTCTCATCAAAGGTTTTGTTCCTATAGAAGGAATATTCTTGATTCCAGGGATCATTGCTTTCACTGTATTCCTTTCTTTATTTTTATAAGCTTTCAGATCAAGCCTGTTCAGGTATTTTTCTTGCATAGTCATTTTTCCGTAATTATGCTTATTCAGTGCATTAAGGGTCATTTGATTCTGTAAGGTTTCTCTATAGAGATTCTTTTGCTCTTCCAGCTCTCTTCTCTTCTTTTCCTCATTCTGGTTGTAAGCCATAGACTCTCTCATCTTGTTGTCAATTTCTTCTTTTTCTTTGAGCTTGCCCATGGTAGCAGCACGGGTTTTATCATGAAGACTTCTCAGGTTCGAATTCTGAGCATTCTTGAGCTCTCCGTCAAGCTTCTGTCTGTTCTTGTCATAGTCATCAAAGAGCTTATTACCAAACTTATCGACGTCGCCATTGATTTTATCATTGAGATGTTTCTGTTTATCATAAGAGGGCTTGGCATAGTTGATAGTGGCATTAACTCTGTCATCCATATCCTTGCTGATTTTATTTATACTTGTTGAACCAGTCTTCTTTCTCTTTGTCTCTTTTCTCATTCTCTTTTTGCATTCCTCTGAGGTAATCATCGTCTTCTTTTCTTCTTTGGTCTTCTTCAACTTGACCTTTGAGGTATTTATGGTAATCAGCCACGTTGTCTAATTCCTTCTTGTACTGAAGGTTTTTGTCCTTCATTGCCCTTTGGGAATTGCGACCAGCATATCTGTTGTTATCCAGCATGTTTTGGTCCTCAAGCAGTTCACGCTGTTTGGCTTCTAGGGCCTTCCGCCTATTCTCTTCCATTGCGTTACGGTAGTCCTGGTTCAACTTTTCTCTCTCACCCTTATCAAGATTAGCTATTTGTTGGTTTAGTTGCATTCCGAGACCGAATTGGTTGTTAATTTGGTTCCCTTCATTAGCTCTTTTAGCCTTCTCGGCCTGGTCATGGAACTGTTTCTCCTTCATTTGACGATCAAGCTCGGCTTTATAGTCAACCATGGCCTGGTGACGGTTTTCTTGCTCAAGTCTCTTGTCTTGTTCATAGACTTCAGATTGGTTCCTGATGAGAGCTTTCCACTCATCAATGACTCCATGGGCGTCTTCTGGATAATACTGTTTGTTCTGAGCATAAACTTTGGCTATGTGTGGTTTCTTGTCTTCATAGTCCCTCTTCCAGCCGAAGGATTTAAACTTGAGCGTATCGTTGATCTCCATGTAGTTTATTATTATATAATGAAAAGTTCAGTAAATTTTATGAATAAAGGGGTTTTGGGGTTTTGGGGTTTTGGGGTTTTGGGG